TTGTGAATCTTATACCAGTATGTTTCTGATATATCAGATACTATAGGTGGTTCAATGACAGTTAGAACTGTACATTTGTGAATCGTATACCAGTATGTTTCTGATATATCAGATACTATAGGTGGTTCAATGACAGCTATAACTGTATACTTGTGAATCTTATACCAGTATGTTTCTGAAATATCAGATACTATAGGTGGTTCAATGACGGCTATAACTGTATACTTGTGAATCTTATACCAGTATGTTTCTGATATATCAGATACTATAGGTGGTTCAATGACAGCTATAACTGTATACTTGTGAATCTTATACCAGTATGTTTCTGATATATCAGATACTATAGGTGGTTCAATGACAGTTAGAACTGTACATTTCTGAATCTTATACCAGTATGTTTCTGATATACCAGATACTATAGGTGGTTCAATGACAGCTATAACTGTATACTTGTGAATCTTATACCAGTATGTTTCTGATATATCAGATACTATAGGTGGTTCAATGACAGTTAGAACTGTACATTTGTGAATCTTATACCAGTATGTTTGTGATATATCAGATACTATAGGTGGTTCAATGACAGCTATAACTGTATACTTGTGAATCTTATACCAGTATGTTTCTGATATATCAGATACTATAGGTGGTTCAATGACAGTTAGAACTGTACATTTGTGAATCTTTTACCATTATGTTTGTGATATATCAGATACTATAGGTGGTTCAATGACAGCTATAACTGTATACTTGTGAATCTTATACCAGTATTTACATTTAGTACTAGCGACTAAATGTTTTTATTGCAGGTATATCATCTTATGTTTACAATTTTACTTACTTCCTGCTACGTCATCGCACGCGCGTGTCCTCGGAAGTTACGTAACCATCTCGTGGTGACGTAATCACTGCTTTTTCATTACATAACCGTCTCTACTCTTCACTTTCGCACAGCTGTCAATCCGTGGTACATCGCATTGTCGCTCTCCGCTTTCTCCGTTTTTACGTTTTCTCTCATCCTTCAATCCTACATTCGCTGACATTTAGTCATACCTTTCTCGCAACCGTTGATAGACCTATCTTATAGCTTCGCTGACGTTAGTCATACTCCTATCACAACCGTTGATAGATCTATCTGATAGATATGCCCGCGAAAAGAAGAGCCGCCATAAACCATCGCTTGGTCAGAGGGGCCAACCAGGCACGAGTTGTCACCCCACCCCCAAGAGAGGTGAACGGGATCCCCATCGTGCCAAGCGCTACAGCGGACGGTGAGTTACAATATTCCATAAATAATTGTGTGTCAATACCATCTGGTATTTTGGCTTCCACCGCGCCCGCGCCCAAACAAACTGATCACGTTTTGCATAATAATCAAAACGCATCAGTAGCGCAGCATCTGCAACAAATCTGGGCGCTCTTGGGGCAATCGGGGGCCGATAACATGGGCCAACAACGTAGCATCGACAGTGCTGACATTCCCGCACATTCTCTCGATGCGTGCGGACCAGGTGGGGTTAACCCGCCTTTTCAGATCGAGGCTCACGGTGACGTGTCAATACCGAACACGTCAGCCAATGAAAATATCCGTCGGGGGAATCCCTCGTCTTCAACTCAGAGTTTATTGATGCACACGTCAAACAACAAACCAGGGAAAAGGTATGGCGAGGTGAGTATGTGGACATCGGGATACTTCTACCCAACGACGCGGGCACCGAGGAGAGCGAAGCTCTTACTATGGTCACCGATACTGCAGGTAAGGTGCTATTTAAACCTGTCAAAGCGCCAACGAGGAAAATAACACTGGGAAGCTGGCAACATATACCTTGCCAAACATTTCAGTTTACGGATAGTGCCAAGCCTATTATCGTACATGGAAACAATCCGTTCAGCGGCACTTAGATGTGGACCGGATGCCTGGTGTCTATACGACCAGCAATTCCGACATAGGATGGCTAGAGACCCTCTACGACAATCGGACAAACTTGATGGTGAGCTATGGCTAAAATACATGATCCCGCAGTCGGGGCGTCAACAGGTAGGTGGTACATTCGGTCAGCTGACTGCTTCAAGTGTTTCAGACCCTGTACTTAACCTATGCTTTGCATTCAACAAACCTCATGGGTGTAAAAAGTACAGCTGCGCGTACTCCCACATATGCAGCAAGTGCGGCGAAACAGCTCACGGGGCGTCGACCTGCTTTCGCGGTCAGGGGGTCGCACGACCCCCCTCTCAATCAATAGCTCAAGCTAACGCTTTAATGGCTCAAGCCCACGCTTTAATGGCCCAAGGCAGTCAACCAGAGGAACTAGAGGTAAGGTCTTTGGCTCCTACTCCCGTCAAACTAGATAAGTTAACACCATGGTTGTGTCGTTATTCTCAGTTAAACGCAGAGGATGCACAATATTTGCTCGATGGTTTTACATTTGGTTTCCAACTCGAGTTCCAAGGTACACGTCATAGTCGGCTAGCAGGTAATTTACAATCCGCAACCAATAAAGATAGGAGGGACATCGTTAGACAAAAGCTTAAAAAAGAACTGGATCTTAACAGAATGGCAGGACCTTTAGCACTATCCCCTTTGTTAACTTGCAAGTATCCCCTGTAGGTCTAATCCCAAAGAAACAGGCAGAATCACAACAATGCCAAGGTGAGAAAGTCGATGATTTCCGTCTAATTCATCATCTGTCTTATCCCAAAGGAGGGTCAATTAATGACCACATAGATCCGCAAGCATGTTCCGTCTCTTATGCCAAGTTCGACGAAGCTGTACAGATGGTGCAGCACTTGGGAAAGGGAGCACTGCTTGCAAAGTTCGACATCAAGTCAGCATTCAGAATTATACCAGTGCACCCGGATGATTTCGAACTGCTGGGTATCCAATTCGAAGGTAAATTTTACTTTGATAAATGCTTACCATTTGGATGCTCGATATCATGTGCTATTTTTGAGACCTTCAGCTCATTTCTCCAATGGTGCATCAGTCAGCGTATCCCAGCAATACCGATCATGCATTACCTTGATGACTTTCTGACGGGGGGGGACAGCAGGGCACAACACAATGCCAATCCTATTTGCAGTCTGCATTAGAAATGCTAACTCAGCTTGGTATTCCCATCGCCCAGGATAAAACAGTAGGTCCAGTGTCTCAACTTACATTTCTGGGCCTCGAAATAGACACGCTAGCTATGCAGGTGAGAATACCGGAAGGTAAGATCAGTGAAATCACAGCCCAAATTCGGCACATACTCACCACATCAAACTCAAAGGCAACAAAGAAAGAATTTGGTAAGCTCAATTTTGTGTGTAGGGCCATCCCAATGGGTAGAGCATTCTGTCGAAGACTCATCGACCTCCTCTGCCAAGGTAAGCAACCTTTCCATCATATTCGAATCACAGAATGGGTAAAACAGGATCTTCAAATGTGGCTTACATTTCTCACGAACTTTAATGTATCAGTATTTCAGGACAAGCTGTGGGTGGACAACTCTCACCTTCAGCTTTACACAGATGCAGCAGGGAGCACAGGTTTTGGGGCCTACCTCCAGGGCAGATGGTTCTGCGGTAGATGGCCTTACCAGTGGGTTAAGGATGGGACAACACTTGACATGACCTTTCTGGAGCTGTTTCCCATCGTCTGCGCCATTCAGCTATGGGGAACACAGCTGATGAACAAGAAAATACTGTTCTACTGTGACAACCAGGCAGTGGTGGCAATCATCAACAAGCAATCAACCAAAGCCCCTCGGGTGATGAATCTTCTCCGCCGCCTCATCCTCCTTTGTCTTAACTATAACATTTTGTTTAAGTCAAAATACATTGGAACTAATTCCAATGTTATAGCCGATGCACTCTCAAGGTTTCAGTTCAATCGTTTCCGGGCAGTAGCACCGGAAGCAGAGCCTGCGCCAACGCCGGTTCCAGACAACATATGGCAGATCTGAAGCAAGAAGTAGACAGGCTACTACTACAGTCACTATCTGAAAATACCTGGTCGACTTACAAGACAGGCATCAACGCGCTGCAGCAGTTCAGATCGGTGCATCAGCTTCCAGAAACGTGGCCAGTCCCCCTAGATCAGGTCGTAAACTTTATTGCTCATTTGTCAGTCACCAACCATTCTCCCAACACAGTAAAAACATATATCGCTGGTATATCCGCCAACCATAAATTTAAAGGTATGGAAGACTGTATCAATCATTTCCTGGTTACTAAACTAATAACAGGTATGTACAAGTCAAGAGGGCGCCAGGACAAAGGAAACCTATTACTCTGGATCTGTTGAAGGTGGTCATCAACAATCTCACGCAGGTTTGTTCCTCGTCATACGAGGTATGCCTCTTCAGACCCGTCCATTGTATAGCCTTCTTTGGCTTCTTTAGAATAAGTGAACTAGTTCAAACTAAGATGTCACAGCCAGGCTGCTCCATCAATAACGTAAGTATATCAGGCGAACCGGAGAAAGCTACTATCCACCTTCCACACTCCAAAGGCGACCAACATGGGTACGGCAATTCAGTGGGTATAGAGCCGACACCAGGTAAATCACCCTGCCCTTAAGGCATACTTAAAGGTGCGCCCATCTGGCCCTGCCCCAGCATTTATCCACTTTGATCATTCACCGCTAACCAGGTATCAGTTCCAAGCGGTCCTAAAAAAGGCCTTGGCCCTCAGCTCAATAGGTACTGAAAGTTATTCTTCCCACTCTTTCCGAATCGGGGCAGCAACAACAGCAGCTATCAATGGGGTACCACCACATCTCATCCAGCAATACGGCAGGTGGAAGTCAGAATGCTATCAGTCGTATATACGTCTTCCTGTGACATAATTATTCATGTTAGTTAACAAGAACTAAAGGCAAATAACTAATAACTGCCAAATGCTACTATAGTACATTTGTTCCAGTCTGGATGGTGGGCTCAAGCTTTATGACAAGGGTGAGGCAACAGCTGTCCCCACAGCGCCTGGAGCTAGTGCCCCACAAAAAGATTTGTGGTTGGCAAGGGGCGGACTGCGGTGGAATGACCTGGACAGGGTGATCGACGCTCAGGTGGAGGCAACGCGGCGCAGCCCTGCAGCTGTCGTAATACACTTGGGATCCAATGATTTGGGCTCCACGAAGACCAGCCAGCTCCTCATAGATATGGAGACAATAATCATGCGGATCCAGGCACACCTACCACACACCCATGTCTGTTTTTCCGGTATCCTACAACGAAGGTATTGGCATTCCGCACGCGACCCACGTAAGGTGAAAAAGAGTAGATCTAAGCTCAATAGGCGGTTAGCCAATCGTCTCCGCGACCTTCCTAAGTTCTCATTTATCCCCCATCCTAAAATAGTGGCCACTGACCGGTCCTGGTTCCAGTGGGAGGGAATCCACCTTAGTTATAAAGGGATAGGAGCTTTCGTAAAGGATATCGATCATGCCTTGGTCCAAATTTTCAAGTAGGTAATTATAAAGGTAAGACATCTTTCTTATGAGGCAATCATGGCGGTCACGCGTATCATCATCCGCGGCCGTGGGGTGTGGGGTAGCACTTTGGTGCTAAGTGGTGTGGTTCTTCTGGGCTACCTCCTATATCATCATAATTTATATTGATATATATACTAATTAGGGTTTCCGGTTACCTGCTTTCCAGCGGGAACCCAGACTGGGTTACCTTCTTACCAGTTGGAACCGAGTCTTTCCCGGGTTTTCACTCGGGAATCTAGTAACAATTACATTTGGCAACGCAAGTTGCCACATAGCTGGGCCTGGCGGCGTTCGCTCCCATTTAGACCCGCAGCGTTGGTCGGGTTGCGTCGTTTCCGTCATTTGGGCCGTAGCATTAAGTATATATTAACAATTAAATTTGGCCTGGCGGCGTTCGCTCCCATTTAAATGCGCAGCTGTGGTCGGGTTGCGTCGTTTCCGTCATTTGGGCCGTAGCATTAAGTATATATTAACAATTAAATTTGGCCTGGCGGCGTTCGCTCCCATTTAGACCCGCAGCTGTGGTCGGGTTGTGACATTTCCGCCATTTGGGCCTTAGCATTAATTATATATTAACAAATATGTTTGGCGACTCAAGTCGCCACATAAATACTATTTATTCCATTTCTAAATTGAGGTAGCCCTTTAGAACCTCCACACCCTCGGCCATTAAATCCACTGTTGCGTCTTTGTCATTCTTTCAACATAGCCCACCTTCCTCAGGGAGGTGGGCCATCGCTGTAATATCCTGCAATAAGTTTCTGATATATCAGATACTATAGGTGGTTCAATGACAGCTATAACTGTATACTTGTGAATCTTATACCAGTATGTTTCTGATATATCAGATACTATAGGTGGTTCAATGACAGCTATAACTGTATACTTGTGAATCTTATACCAGTATGTTTCTGATATATCAGATACTATAGGTGGTTCAATGACAGCTATAACTGTATACTTGTGAATCTTATACCAGTATGTTTCTGATATATCAGATACTATAGGTGGTTCAATGACAGCTATAACTGTATACTTGTGAATCTTATACCAGTATGTTTCTGATATATCAGATACTATAGGTGGTTCAATGACAGCTATAACTGTATACTTGTGAATCTTATACCAGTATATTTCTGATATACCAGATACTATAGGTGGTTCAATGACAGCTATAACTGTATACTTGTGAATCTTATACCAGTATGTTTCTGATATACCAGATACTATAGGTGGTTCAATGACAGTTAGAACTGTATACTTGTGAATCTTATACCAGTATGTTTCTGATATATCAGATACTATAGGTGGTTCAATGACAGTTAGAACTGTATACTTGTGAATCTTATACCAGTATGTTTCTGATGTACCAGATACTATAGGTGGTTCAATGACAGTTAGAACTGTATACTTGTGAATCTTATACCAGTATGTTTCTGATGTACCAGATACTATAGGTGGTTCAATGACAGTTAGAACTGTATACTTGTGAATCTTATACCAGTATGTTTCTGATATATCAGATACTATAGGTGGTTCAATGACAGCTATAACTGTATACTTGTGAATCTTATACCAGTATGTTTCTGATAGACCAGATACTATAGGTGGTTCAATGACAGCTATAACTGTATACTTGTGAATCTTATACCAGTATGTTTCTGATATATCAGATACTATAGGTGGTTCAATGACAGTTAGAACTGTATACTTGTGAATCTTATACCAGTATGTTTCTGATATACCAGATACTATAGGTGGTTCAATGACAGTTAGAACTGTATACTTGTGAATCTTATACCAGTATGTTTCTGATATACCAGATACTATAGGTGGTTTAATGACAGTTAGAACTGTATACTTGTGAATCTTATACCAGTATGTTTCTGATATATCAGATACTATAGGTGGTTCAATGACAGCTATAACTGTATACTTGTGAATCTTATACCAGTATGTTTCTGATATACCAGATACTATAGGTGGTTCAATGACAGTTAGAACTGTATACTTGTGAATCTTATACCAGTTTGTTTCTGATATACCAGATACTATAGGTGGTTCAATGACAGTTAGAACTGTATACTTGTGAATCTTATACCAGTATGTTTCTGATATATCAGTTACTATAGGTGGTTCAATGACAGCTATAACTGTATACTTGTGAATCTTATACCAGTATGTTTCTGATATACCAGATACTATAGGTGGTTCAATGACAGCTATAACTGTATTCTTGTGAATCTTATACCAGTATGTTTCTGATATACCAGATACTATAGGTGGTTCAATGACAGCTATAACTGTATACTTGTGAATCTTATACCAGTATGTTTCTGATATATCAGATACTATAGGTGGTTCAATGCCAGCGATAACTGTATACTTGTGAATCTTATACCAGTATGTTTCTGATATACCAGATACTATAGGTGGTTCAATGACAGTTAGAACTGTATACTTGTGAATCTTATACCAGTATGTTTCTGATATATCAGATACTATAGGTGGTTCAATGACAGTTAGAACTGTATACTTGTGAATCTTATACCAGTATGTTTCTGATAGACCAGATACTATAGGTGGTTCAATGACAGTTAGAACTGTATACTTGTGAATCTTATACCAGTATGTTTCTGATATATCAGATACTATAGGTGGTTCAATGACAGCTATAACTGTATTCTTGTGAATCTTATACCAGTATGTTTCTGATATATCAGATACTATAGGTGGTTCAATGACAGCTATAACTGTATACTTGTGAATCTTATACCAGTATGTTTCTGATAGACCAGATACTATAGGTGGTTCAATGACAGTTAGAACTGTATACTTGTGAATCTTATACCAGTATGTTTCTGATATATCAGATACTATAGGTGGTTCAATGACAGTTAGAACTGTATACTTGTGAATCTTATACCAGTATGTTTCTGATATACCAGATACTATAGGTGGTTCAATGACAGCTATAACTGTATACTTGTGAATCTTATACCAGTATGTTTCTGATAGACCAGATACTATAGGTGGTTCAATGGCAGTTAGAACTGTATACTTGTGAATCTTATACCAGTATGTTTCTGATATACCAGATACTATAGGTGGTTCAATGATGGCTCTAACTGTATACTTGTGAATCTTATACCAGTATGTTTCTGATATACCAGATACTATAGGTGGTTCAATGACAGTTAGAACTGTATACTTGTGAATCTTATACCAGTATGTTTCTGATATACCAGATACTATAGGTGGTTCAATGACAGTTAGAACTGTATACTTGTGAATCTTATACCAGTATGTTTCCGATATATCAGATACTATAGGTGGTTCAATGACAGTTAGAACTGTACATTTGTGAATCTTATACCAGTATGTTTCTGATATATTATATACTATAGGTGGTTCAATGACAGCTATAACTGTATACTTGTGAATCTTATACCAGTATGTTTCTGATATATCAGATACTATAGGTGGTTCAATGACAGCTATAACTGTATACTTGTGAATCTTATACCAGTATGTTTCTGATATATCAGATACTATAGGTGGTTCAATGACAGCTATAACTGTATACTTGTGAATCTTATACCAGTATGTTTCTGATGTACCAGATACTATAGGTGGTTCAATGACAGTTAGAAGTGTACACTTGTGAATCTTATACCAGTATGTTTCCGATATATCAGATACTATAGGTGGTTCAATGACAGTTAGAACTGTATACTTGTGAATCTTATACCAGTATGTTTCTGATATACCAGATACTATAGGTGGTTCAATGACAGCTATAACTGTATACTTGTGAATCTTATACCAGTATGTTTCTGATATACCAGATACTATAGGTGGTTTAATGACAGTTAGAACTGTATACTTGTGAATCTTATACCAGTATGTTTCTGATATACCAGATACTATAGGTGGTTCAATGACAGTTAGAACTGTATACTTGTGAATCTTATACCAGTATGTTTCTGATATATCAGATACTATAGGTGGTTCAATGACAGCTATAACTGTATACTTGTGAATCTTATACCAGTATGTTTCTGATATACCAGATACTATAGGTGGTTCAATGACAGTTAGAACTGTATACTTGTGAATCTTATACCAGTTTGTTTCTGATATACCAGATACTATAGCTGGTTCAATGACAGTTAGAACTGTATACTTGTGAATCTTATACCAGTATGTTTCTGATATATCAGTTACTATAGGTGGTTCAATGACAGCTATAACTGTATACTTGTGAATCTTATACCAGTATGTTTCTGATATATCAGATACTATAGGTGGTTCAATGACAGCTATAACTGTATTCTTGTGAATCTTATACCAGTATGTTTCTGATATACCAGATACTATAGGTGGTTCAATGACAGCTATAACTGTATACTTGTGAATCTTATACCAGTATGTTTCTGATATATCAGATACTATAGGTGGTTCAATGACAGCTATAACTGTATACTTGTGAATCTTATACCAGTATGTTTCTGATATACCAGATACTATAGGTGGTTCAATGACAGTTAGAACTGTATACTTGTGAATCTTATACCAGTATGTTTCTGATATATCAGATACTATAGTTGGTTCAATGACAGTTATAACTGTATACTTGTGAATCTTATACCAGTATGTTTCTGATAGAACAGATACTATAGGTGGTTCAATGACAGTTAGAACTGTATACTTGTGAATCTTATACCAGTATGTTTCTGATATA